GTTTACTACAGTCCAAAAGAAGTTAAAGAAGTAGCAGCTGGCTTTTATTCAGCAAATGGAATCAACATTTCACCTGATAGAAAGTAAGTTTCTCCTTACCTTAGATTTTGTTCGATCACACAAAAGAATCCAGGGATCCTGACTGTACATGTTGTACCTCTGTGGTCGGGTGTCTAAGCCGATTCATATAAGGTAAGGTGCTGCCTGTGCAGAGTCAGTGATTCAGAGCGATTGCAGCACAGAGCCGTGTGTGTTGGTGTTCAGCAGCAATGTTGGCTGCTTTGTGTTGTAGTTTATGGGCAGTAAGATCAAAGGTTGCTGCGTTTTAAGCAGCCAATACAGGAGTTTGTGTGTGTTGCTTGCAGGGATTAACAGGGCAGAGTTTCTGCAAGTGGGGAATGTTCTACCATCCCAAACTCTGTGTGACTGAATCAAACAGTCTTGTGGTGTGGACAGGTGATCCTAAATTAAAGAAAAAAAAAAAGGCGCAATTGTGGGTTTCTAGTTCCAAGTCGTATTTTGGTGTTGCAATAGAAGAACTGGCACAATGTGAAACCACATTAGCATCTCAGCAGGTTGGCTTCATTTCAGTGCCCTGTGGCCTGCTTGCAATATCTGTTGCTGTGTGAGAACTGCAGGCTAGTATGCTTCATGGGAAGAGCTGGGCTTGCACAGGAGAAACGGGTTTTCATGTCTTCTTACTCATATATGTTGCTGAGAGGTGCTTTGCTTTCTTTTGAAGGTACATCTATGTTGCAGATGTATTTGATCATAATGTCCATGTTATGGAAAAACACACTAACTGGAATTTAACTCATGTGAAGGTAAGGTGCTGCTGTTCTATAAAAAAGAGAGAAATGTGAATTTTGGACAGAATAGTCCCCATGAATGCTTGAGATATCAACATGACATGACATGTAAAGTTCTGGTCTGAGTGGCTCCTGCTGTGGGGTTGCAGAGGTGGTGTGTGCCCTGTTATAGAGCTTCAGGTCTTCCACCTTCCCACCAGCAACCAGATAGGAATCCTTGGGTGTGCTGTTGAGCCACAGTGTGGGTCAGAGCAGGAAGAAGGAATCAACAAACAAGGAGGTGTGAATGAGCTGATAGGGGAAGCTAAGAGCAGCAAGCAGGTTTCTCATGGCACAGAGGTGGGGATGATGCATACAAGGGAAAAGAAAAACAAAACTGAGGGAGAAAATATTTCTTAAAAAAAAATAAATCTAAGTTATGTCAGATGAGAGTCTCGGACAAGTCTATTCATTATGTTGTAGTTTACTTCCAGGACTTCTGATAGCTTTAACTCCTTGTTTTTCCTTTGTGTTGTATAGACGTTGCAGCTGGACACTCTGGTTGATAACTTGTCTATTGAACCTCACACTGGAGACATCTGGACAGGATGTCATCCCAATGGGATGAAGCTGTTCTACTATGATCCTGAAAATCCTCCTGCCTCTGAGGTGCCTTTTGGGAGACATCACTGATCTCTTGGTTGTGTCTGTGCCAAAAAGTTGTTTTGTTCAAATCACCCTGGTATAATGTAGAGAAGGGCCTGGCCAGCCTTTATGAAAGCAAAGACCAAGGTTGAGTCTCTCCCAAGTGGAAGCCCGAAGAGCATATGCTCACTAACAAACACCTGTTCAGATCCTCAGGTGACAGCTGAGTAATTTCTACCCAGTAGCTCACTCACTTTGGACTCCTCAGGCTGCTTTCTGTGCAACTGTGGCCACACACACAGATTCTGATGAACTGCCTTAATTACTGAGCCAGGACATCTTTGCCAAACTAAACATGATTGACTGAGTGCACAGCATGACCAGAAACATTTGCACAGTAATGATTAATCTGTGCAAGTGTGTTCATCAGTAGGTGACACTGTAATTCTTCTTTTCTTCTGAAATCAATGAGGTACTGGCCTCAGGGTGATAGTGGCCACAAGTGCAGCTGGATGGTTGGTGTCCATTTGATTTCAGCCTTGTCTGAAGCACCCTGTAAGACACTTCTCAAAATTACCATGTTCAATAGCAGTAGATTTATGATACTAGGCAGTTGTTTACTCTGTCTGGAAAAAGCATGAAAATAAGAAGATAATAACTAATTCTTCAGCAGGAAAAAACTGTGCACATTCCTAGTAGTGGGGAAGACTGCCTTCCTTACAGACGTGGGGTCTCTGTTGCACAACCACTTAGAAAAAACCCCCAAACCAGTCTTCATGGACTGTGCTTCCCTGAAGGCCCTATCACAGGAATCATATGGCTGTAATTATCAGCAGCTGATCATCCTAACTAATTTGTTTAATGCTGATGTTCCCTCCATACATGGGGCATTTCTACCTACAGCCATTTCAGTAGATGTATCCTCCCCTTCTGGCAGGTTCTGCGCATCCAGAACATCCTGTCAGAGGAGCCTGTGGTGACCCGTGTCTACGCCGACAACGGCTCTGTGCTGCAGGGGAGCTCAGTGGCATCCATCTACGAGGGAAAACTGCTCATTGGCACAGTCTTCCACAGAGCTCTCTACTGTGAGCTATAGCTCGCCATGGGTAAGATCTACCGCAGCGGAAAGGATTTAATTCCTTGGGAACTCAGTTTCTGCTAGATTTGCTAACAACAAGACTGTTCCAATAAAGGTTAACTGCAGTAATGGAGATGTATTTTAGCCTTCCTCTCCAAAATGAGACTTCTATGCAATAGCAAAGGAAATGGAACTGAAGGTGAGAAATTAGTTTCTTTTGTAATGAGGAGGACCCTATATCAGTAACAAAGGGTAACCTTGAAATTGAGTTTCAGATTGCAGATGACTAAACTGTCAGACACAGAACTCATCTCTGCTGTCTGGATTTTGTTGTTTTGTGTTTTGTGTTTTTTTTTGTTTTTTTTTTGTTTTTTTTTTTTTTTTTTTTTTTTTTTTTTTTTTTTTTTTTTTTTTTTTTTTTTTTTTTTTTTTTTTTTTTTTTTTTTTTTTTTTTTTTTTTTTTTTTTTGTGTTTTTTTTTTGTGGTTTTTTTTTTTCCCATGAGAAAATTGATTTTGTAAATAAGAATTCCTGACTATCAGTGTGGTGTGTGTTATTTTCACTGACCCCTGGGCCTTCCCAGGGACTGTGTGAGGGGGTCTTCTTCTGAATCTGCCTATTGGCTTTCCCTAATGCTTCCAAAATAACTGGGAAGGGAATAAATATTATTTCAGTTTCATCCACTTCCCCTTTCAAGTCATTTCCTAACATTTCTTCAGGCTCTTCAATTTTTCTTAATCCTACTGAGAAAAGAGTAGGGCATCACTTCGGAGTGGTTTCTTACTGAGTCTTCCAAAGGGAGTTTAAAAAGCTTTTTTTACTCTTAAAGAGTGGGAAACATGTCCTAAGCACATCATTGAGGAGTGCATTAGCAATTACTGTTGTCTGTCACAGAAAAGGGAGCATTTCTGGACACTTTGCCACAGTGACTACCCCCGAGCCTTGGTCACACACGTTCTGTGGTTAGCTTCCAGTCGATCTGGAGCCGATTCCCCCTGTGCTACTGTGCAGCAGGCACACCTTCCTGTTTATCCAGCATCATTACTGATAATGTCTCACACTGCTGAACAGCCTATCCAGGTTTCCATCAGCTGGTGTTTTTGAAATAGTATTAGCAGTCACTTTCAGTGAACTGAACGGAATGTCTTTTGAAATTGGAAATCACTTTTGTGATTTTCTCCAGTGAGCACAGCAAGATGCCAGAAACCCCTGTTTTGGCCAACACTTGGTTTCCTGCTTATGAAGGGAGCTCTTCTGTGTCAATATCCTTACCCATAGAGCAGCTCCTGCTGCTCTTTTTGTCCTTCCAAGTTCCCAGCTGTGATCAGCCCTCCAGTTTTGTGAGAGATGCTGACATTCAGCTAAAGGTTCTGTGTTACCTGTGGCGGCCCTCCTGCAGGGGTTGCTGCTGTGCTGCCTGCACCTGCCTGCACTGGCCCTTGTCAGTGTCTTGGCGGCCCCTCCGAATGCTGCCACCAGACAGATCTCCCCAGGGCTATCAGCCCCTCTGCATCCTTCATCTGATGCCGTAGCTTTTCCTCAGTGCAGTCTTTCCACCGTTACATGAAGGAAGAAAGAAAGGCTGCTCCGAAGGGCAAGCCTGAGAGGAGAGAGAACCAGTCCCCAGGTGCCAATTGCTATGCTAGCTTTGCTGTTCCCTCCTGCAGTCTGCTCCACCACCAGCCACAGCCCCTCCAGTCTGGAGAGTACATGGAAAGTCCAGTGTTTTGAAAACACAGGAGTGCTTGTGCCTACGAGACAGAGAAAATAATCCACTCTGTAGTAGCTCAAACACTGAGTCAGAAGGCAGAGTATGTGCAAACCCTCCTCTGTCTGGATTTTCCCATTCTGGCTGAGGAGGCAGTAGTGCAGGCTGAGGTTCGGGTGAGCAGTGGCCCTGAAGAGCAAATGTGTCTACTGACACCTCTTGGCTCCTGTGCCTTTCCTAACAAGCCTAATGGTTTTCATCCACTGGTAGAATTACCATTCCTTCCCTGACAGAAAGGGACAGCTCTAACCAGAGCAAGAAGTCAGTGCCAGGGCTTGAGGCTGGGGCAGTGTTGCTGTACAGGAGGGACTGTGTCATCCCTCTTCCTGTGCATGGCCATGTGTCTTGCCACATCACCCACCTCCTGCCCCCAGAAAGCCTCTGCTGCATGCTGTGCTGCCCCAAGCTCGCTGGCACAGACCCTGCCTGGTGTAAGGCACGTCCCTGGGCACAAAGACGTCGTGTGAGGTTGAAGAACTGAGCCAGTGGCATGTTTGGCTCAGTCACTGCCTTCCTGATGCCAGAAGCTTCCCCCTTCTGCCATGGCAGAAAACTCTTTCCCACCCATGTACCAGTACAAATGACACATGCTGTGGGGGTTACCAATGGCTAGAAGGGGAGACTTGAGTGTTAGTTAACCACACGGCTACTTGATTTGTCTCTTGGTGGCAGCCCTGCATTAGCAGATCTGTGCACGAACTGCGTTCATAGCTCCTCTCCAAAATGCTCAAAGGTGATCTGCAGACTTGAGGGCTGCCCAGGCTTCACTGTCTGCTCACAAAAGCTTTGGTGACAAGGACTCAACCACTTGGATCACAGTTTTGAGTCTTGCTGACTGTGGTGTGCAGCCCTTCCACAGAGCAGAGCTGGCCTTGAATGAGGGCAGCTTTTGTCTCATCCCTTTGCTGTACCTGCCTTTGGCATTACCTAACCCTGGCTTTGCTGCTTGCTCCTTAGCAGCTTCTCTCCCTGCAGGACACCTTCAGTTTCCCTTGGAAGTGGTGTACTTTCCTACAGGAACGTGTAATCCATTTTCAGTCTTGAGGAACAGATGTCATTCCCAGAGCTCAAGCTGAAAGGACTCCTCTGAAGGGAGTTCTCACGGCAAGGAGAGGTTGGGCTATTAACTTATTCATGATTAGCCATCAGTGGCCTGCACAAGCATTCTAAAGTGGTTATTTTAGGACTGTGCAGCTATTTGTTCTGAAGTGCCATCTCCTAAAGAGTTACATCATTCATTAGTGGCAGTAACACACTGAAATGCTGATCAGCCACTCTGCTGGTCCTGGATTTACTCTGTGTTTGTAGAAATGAAACAGCCATTTCCCTCAGCAGTGGCAGAAGTAACCCGTAAAAACATTAACTTCAAATTTTACAGTGGCTTAAAACATCTTCAGATGAGCAAATCTACACATTGTTGGATGTTGTCAAACTTCTATTTTTTGTTGGTTTTAGCCTTTCAGAAAATAAAAGATTGTCTTTACTCATCACTGGCTTTTTTTTCTGTTCTAAATGACTTCTGTGCTGAAGGCTTTCCCATCGCTCTGCCTGCAGACTGAAGCACAGGCAAGCTATATGCCTTATCTTTTCTTACAACATTTGAGAGGAGAGAGATTGTAGGTATCTGATGCAACATCCTGAATTTTAACCTGAGGTGAGGAGGACTGGGAGCCCATTGCCAACCTTCTCTACAGGTTATCCCAGCCTTGCAGTGCAGAGGTGGGAACTGAACCTGGGCCGCCGCTCATTCAAGTGGTGCTTGAGCAGGACAGAGACATCAAGAGCCCTTTTGGGGTATAGCTTCCACCTCTTGGCATGACATCACCGCTTCATAAACTCACTGGAAGCCTCAGTGCAGAAACAGCAGGTTACGTTGTGATTGAGAGGCCAGGCTTGAGCTGCATCTTCCACCACTGCTGTGGCAGAAAATGCAGCTGAAGCCTGGCCTCTCAATCACAACGTAACCTGCACAGGGCCTCTCAGTATATCTACTTCAATTAAGATAATAATTTTATGGACTGAGGATTCTTTTTATCTGCTTGCAGGTGGTGGCCATATTAGCGGAAAGTAAGGTTTATGACTCAGTTGTTGGGAAACACAAACTGGGTTAGACAGATTAAGTGCAGAGTATTTGGCCTAGATTCTGCCAGATGTAAATCCGCTGAAATGACTACACAAATTGGACAGTCTGCACCCTCTGTTTTTCCCTTGCTTAATGCTTTACTAAAATCAAATAAATAAAGAGATATTAAACACATTCAGTAGAAGAACTGCTGTACTTTGAGTGTGTAAAGTGCCTGTTGTAACTAAGCCACACTTAAATATAAAATGGGTGAATTTTTTTATATACCAAAAGTAATCCGGGTCTTTTAAACAAACACTGACCAGTATCAGCATGTAAGCAGCCTATTTTTACATCAACCTGAAGCAAAAGATTGCACTTTATATTTCATCAGCATATGAAAAAAAGAGTTATCTTTCCTTACTCTTTTTTTTTTGTCACTTCCTTTTACATAATTACAGATTGTAAATGAGACCCACTTGGAGGCCCGTGAATCACGCCAATTTGGCCATGAGTTAGGATTAAAATAATCTTTGGCTAAGCAGAAGGAAGGAAAGAACAAGCGGGGCAAGGTCCATATCCAACTTCCAACCCCCCCCAGTCTGACCCATGCAGCTGTCCAGTTGTGCTCACCATTTAGTATTTCTTCTGGAATGACCAACAAATGGTCAGAAAAGTGAGGACTCGATACAAATTCTAATAAAGATTCAGGATTTCTCATTTTATTGCATTCGTTGTGTAACAACAATAATACTCATTGGCAAGAAATTTATTTACACTAACAAATTAAACCACAAGGCTTTGTTGTTTGTATTTAAACTGTAAGAAAACGAAGGGCCACTATGATGTTTTGTTTTGATGTCTCCCAATAACTAAATATTAACCAAAGTTATCTTGGGGAAAACTCAACAATCTAGAGAAGTTCATATCAACCAAGCACAAGAGAACAAGCTCAGACATGGCACTACTGTGTCCTTCATGCAGGTGATCAGACATCAAGATGTACAAACAAAAAGTTCAGGATAACATGCACTTCATATACATTTGATCTCTTTAAAAAAAGACAAGAAAAATGAAAAAATCTGGAGTGCAACCATCTCTTTAACCATATAAAAAGAAACAATGTAAGCCAATTTTTACAGTGAGCACAGTGCATTTTAGTCTTTTAGCTGCCTGGTCTTCTAGCAATATGTGTAACACTTGTCAGTGACCAGTGAGATACCATCACAACATGACTGGGAAATATGAAAGCAGTTGTTCAAACATTAAATGTGCATGGGAAAGTATAGTCAGAAGAGGTTCACTGTGCACTCTCCACTTCCAAGCGGGCTGGTTATTCCTTATGTCTGGTTCCCTGTGATTCAGACACCTCCACAATGGGGCCCAAATCCATTTCCACTGGGGTCAGTGGCAAACCTCCCACTGGAAACCTGGCAGGAGGCCCAGGTTCCTGGTTTATTGTGAGTTGGATCCGATCTCATGAACTGTGAGCCCTCCTCACTCTCTGGAAGAAGAGACCTGCCTAATGCTGCAAGTTTCACAAACCCTACAGCTTGTTCTTACCACAGTCCACACTTCCCAAAGAAACAGGCAGCCCAAGGCACTATAGCCAAACCTTCCTGTAAGATGTGCATTTTTTAAATAATTACTTAATGCCGAGAGCAGAAATACCAGTGAGTACGGCCGGTTAGGAGCAGAAAGCTCATTTTATATTGAGGGATTGGAGGGCTCAGTGTCACAGCTGAGAACTCAGGTGTCACAGCTTTGAAAAATCAGTTTTAGAGGTGGAAAAGGTACAGTGAAACCCATAGAGGAGGCTAACAAAAGGGACTGTGCTATGTGCACATGACCCACACTCCACTGTGGTGAGTGGGCAAGTTGCCTTGGATGACACCTGTTATCCTGCTCAAAAACAAACTGCTGAGAGCACTACAATAGAAATCAAAGTTGGGATTAAAAATAGAAAAAAAGGGTTTCCTTCCTAGAATACTGGAACTCAAGTAAATGAGGATCCCCTTCCTTACTACTGTAGAACTGGATTTTGCACTATTAGCAAGAGTGGCATTTCTTCCTCTTAGAAGTGAAACACAATTAATTCTCAGAAATGATAAACATTGCCCACCTCTTACTTGCCAGTCTGTAGGCCAGGAGGTGAAGGTGGAGCAGCTCAGGAGGAGAGGAGGCCTTGATGGAAGCAATAAAGTATGAGAAACCCTAATGCTCAGTGTCAAACACCTCTGAATGTTAACGAGAGCTGAGGCCTGGCAAGTTTCAGAGAAAGCTGCTCAGTAATTCTAGCGAAGCTTGATTCCTGTGGTATCCCTGCAGCAGACTACAGTCACGGCACAACAGGTGCCATTGCAAAAAAAATTTAAGAAGTTAAAAAAATACAAAAGTATTTGTATACACTGAGATACAAACATCACCCAACTCTGTTTGGCTTTTTATTACTGGCTTCTGTTCTGCTGTGCAATTCTAAGCCATGATCTAGGACAGGCTCCACTTACAGCAACCCCCGCTAGACCTGCTCAGAGCAGGGGGTGAAGTGCAAACAGCAGTGGGCAATCTCTGTGAACTCCAATGAACGAGCTCTGCTCCTTCCTGACACCCTGGTCCTGATCTCCCTGGGCAGGCTGAAACCAAATTAGGAGTTTTAACATGGACGCTGCATGGGTGCAGCAACCCACCACATGGGAAAATACAAGCTGGAAGCAATTAATGTCAGTATATTTGGCTGATTTGAACAGAGTAAGGAGGTACAACTCCCTTCACAATGTCAGTATAATAGTATGTTTTTCAGGACTAAAGTAACTTGCAGTGTTGTATCTTTTATTTTCTGTTTCTGCAAGTTCCATTTTTTGCTAACGCTCCTTTCTTCACCTTTTTAGAGGCTCAATATATTCACAACGTGGCAATACTGCAGCAATGGGCAGAAACTAGAGTCTACAGAACTGGCCTACCACCCAAACCAGGGAGAAAATAATCCATCAGCCTGCTGTGGTCACCTGGGTGTAATGATGACCCAAGCGCATGGAAACACCACACTGCACAGCAGTCTAACGGTGGCCAGGCAGACTGACCGTAACAGCTTTAGCTCCAGAAATAAATACACAAAGTAGGCAACAGGTACACCCGCAGGTGAGCCAAATGAGAAGATCTTCCAGTCATTTAGCATAGAAATTTGTTTCTTCTTATTACATCAAACCCCACATTAGTCTGACTTAGCATTG